CCTGACCTCCTGCTCAGCACTACGATATCTAGCACCTACTGTTGAAAAGTTAGGTTTTTCATTTTAGAGTCAATGCCGCCATGGGCCGAAAGTACACAAGGAATTTCGGACCGGGCCGAAAATTCCATGGGTTGAAATTCATGGAACCCAACAAAATGACTAAGCCTTTCTCAAACGATGAAATCAAGCTTTAGAATTTCGACAAATCTTCAATAGACTTGGGCTCTTGGACCTCCGAAAATCTTTAATCTAATTTTCTAAAGTTCAGCTACATGCTGTTTTGTACAGAAAGACAGTATCGAACGTAAGTTTTATCCCATGTTGATCTCTATTAGAAACTTTGTCTTTCCTCTATTCGTGAATATTTGAATAAATTTTAAATACTTTCGGAAGTTCGTATGACTAACCTCTTCTTGAGCGTTATCAAAAACTTTCAACAATGTATCATCATCATCAGCATTGATTGCTTTACTAAGACGTTTTCGTTGTTCAAGTTTTTCACGCATTTCATTTAATTTCTTTTTACGTTTCTTTTTTCTTTCTTCATTATTTGCTTCTTCACCACCAATAAGTTTATGTTCTAATTCCTGTAAACGTTCAATTTTTTGTTGTTGCTCCATATCATCGACAGGTACTGATGTACTATCTCCATCAGCAATATCTTGACCATTTGTTACTACTTCTCCATTACGTTTTTGTTTAAGAATTCCACCTTTCTTCTTTGTTTTACTACGTTCATTTCCAACTGGCGATGGTTTTACATCTAATAATTCAATAGATTTTTTTTTTTTTTTTAAATTATTTTATTAAAAGAATTTTTTTTTTGTTGTGTTTATCTACTTTCATCTTTGGGTCGAGTAGCATTTAAAGCATCAAGTTCACCATCATATTGTAATCTTAAATCATCATATTTTCGTTGAAGATCTTCTTTAGTTACACGTTCTACTTCATATTGTCGACGTATTTCAGATACTTCACGTTCATATTCAGCACGTAGTCTTTCTCTTTCTCTTTCTATGTCTTCTTCATTATTAACTGGAGGTTCCTAAAATAATATATATATTAAAATAAATTCGTTATTATTTTTATTATACAACTAATAAGAAGATGATTATAAGAACACAAATTTATGTTTTTTTTTTTCTAATCCATTATAACAGACGAAACATAATGAATCGAACTAATTGTACATACAGTTTTTCAATCATTTAACATTTATACAAAATACTCATTTACATATAAAAAGAAATAGAAAATGTCGAGCATTATAAAACTAAAAATTTCATTTTTAATTTTGTCATGTGTAGCAGCGAATGTAAGTTTTGATTCTCTATCAAAATTAGTGAATCAAAAAACTGTTTGGATGAGAATGTCTGAAAAGCCAATTCTCTAGCATCCATTTGAAGTTTTTTTTTGGAAATGGTTTTATTTGATAGAGAAAAATGCGATATTCTTTCGCTCATCATGGTTTTCCTTCATCGAATGGAATTTACTTTATAGAAGATCCAAGAAACATTTTTCTTTTATTTTTAAAAAAAAAATCAATAATTTCACTGTATTTGATGCCTTCTATAAATTGAATGCAATTCAATGAAGGAAAGTCATAAAGAGGATTCTTCTTATCTGTTACTATCAAGAAGAAAACTCATTACTATAACTGCTGTAAACTTATATCTGCTATTACACAGAATATATAAATGTTTGAATTATCGTGCTAAGACAAAATATTGTTTTGTGTAAAAGTGAAATTCTTAGTTTTTCAAACCTTGAAATTCTCTATATGAATCTAAATGAAAGAAAAATTGCATTTACATTTAGTCTGATGCATACAGTTCACCTGTTACAATGTCTGTAAAACCAGTATCATTCGAGCAAACATTAATTTGATAAATTAATGACAGCGAGAGAGAGAAAATTACTGATAACAGAGCTAGAAGGATTCTACTGTCCAAATGTTCTATCACCCGCTAGAACGGAAAATGATGTCTCGTGCCCATCTCTATTTTGTATTATTTTTATTATCAAATATTGTTTTATTGTTTCGCTTTTTTTTTCTATTAATAGTGTCCAATATATGTTAAGATAATGATGATAAAACCCCACAAGTTTATATTTTGTTTCCTGTGATGAACGTGTCAATAAAATAATAAATCAAGATGTTTTTATATATTCTTGCGTTTAGGATATTTAATATGTCTTTTCATAATCGAAATTATAAATAAGGATTCTGACATTAGTCAAAGAATCAATTAAACAATCAGACGCGAAGTCAAACAAAAATTATTTCTTGTATGATTGTTTCACTGAGCACGATTCCTTATTCTTTAATTTAATCAGTAATCAAATTAACATTTCTCTGTTAAGTAAAAAAGATTTTATAAATTCGATTAATATGACGAGCAAAAGAAATAGCTAAAATGTTATATTACTAACACACAAATTCAATAATTAAGAAAAATTATTATATAAATAAAATCTAGTGTTAATACAGATGAAACATTATAATACTGATAATGATAAATGAATAGAGTTTAGTAGAAAATCAATATTAACTTACATTATTCTCTGGTGGTAGTAATTGATTTCCAGCAGGTGCATTTCCTGCATTAAGAAGTTCTTGTTTAAGACGATTTATTTCTTCTTGTAATAATTTCATTTGAGCATCACGTGGATCTTCATTAATACGAGGTTTATTTTTAATATTTTTCGCACGATTAGCATCTGTATATATATATAGAATATTAATATTTAAGTAAATAAATAAATAATAAACTTACATCGTAATGTTGAAAGTGTTTCATCATAATTATCATGAGCTGGACTTATAGCAGCAACCTTGAAAATAAATTAATATATAAATATTATTAAACATAAATATGACATTTACCATTAAAGTTTTTGTATTACCACCAAGTGAATCTTGTAAAAGACGTGGTAATTTTTAATCTCGATAAGGAATATGGTTTGAACGTCCATCAACTAATGCCGAAATTACATTACCCAATGCACTAAGTGATAAATTAATTCGAGTTGCTTCACGTAAACGTTCACCTTCAGCATCTATATTTAATAAATAAATATATCATATTAATTTTTAAATCGAAAAAAACAATTTTTTTTTTTAATTATATTTACGTGTTTTTGACTGTCGTTCACTACCAGCTAAATCAACTAAATTAAGTTTACCAGCACGAATATGTTCTTTTCCATCAACTTCACTTTTTGTACACATTTCTGTAACAATTGTAAATATTGAATGTGATCGAGATGAATCTTTATTCATAAGTGTAGCACCGGTTGCACGATTTCGATTTCCTTTATCCATAAGACGTTCACAATCGACTACACTCGAACATGTATGCCATGATAAATTTTGTACTTGAACACCTTTATCCACATGTTCCTATTATTATTTTTTTTTGTTTTGAAAAGAATAATTAATAGATTAATAAAAAGAACAAAACAAGAATCATATAAATATTTTTGTTTTTACTTTGAGATCAAGTGTTGCTTTAACATCTTTTCCAAGTAAATCACGAATACTTTCATTATATATTTCAAGATATGATGCTCGAATAAGATATTTAGTACCACTTGCAATTGATGATGCATCAAATATATGCTAAAAATAATATTCAATGTTTAAGATAATACAAAATATTTTCAAGTTTAATTATTNGGTGGTTTAAAGATGAAATTGAAGCCCAATCAAGCAGCTATTAAATGCACAATATAAGTAATATTCTATCAACTCTTTTTATTAAAGAAGAAAGTCCATTATAAAAGGGCTAACTCTTATAATAATGGGCCAAAATATATGAAATTGTGGAAAAGGTTTATTCATGAAAGCTTTGTGCGAACTTCATGAAACTTATAGCGATTACTAACCTCAACATCCACTATCAATTGATATATAAATTAGTATAGTAAGCCAAGTAAATTACCAATGGGCCAATTCGATATCTTAAGCGCCCCCGTCCTTTATTTTTCGACTTTTCTACTGCACACCGTGTTTATCATAGGTGTTGAATTTATTTTTGGCTCTTTTACTTGCATCATTTGGTTCAAATGTTCTATCTGAACGTGAAAAAGAAGATGATGATAATAAAATTGGTGAAGCCATTGATCGTATACAACGATGTATTCGTTTTATATTTCGTTTAATATTTCGTGCATTTTGTAGAAAAAAACGAAAAAAAATAAAAATTATTGAAAGTATTACCAATGAAACAATTTATCTCAATCAAGTTTGTTATATTTTATTGTATTTATTTTTTGTATTTTTTTAATTTATTTTATAGTCTCTTGCTGGTACAGATGATTTAATTAATAATATTCCTTGTTCAACATCAATTAATATTGATAATAAAAAAATAAAACCAAATGGTTTATTAGTTCTAACTAATGAAGCAATAGAACCAATTGAAGATATTGAAATGAAATCATTAAATAACAATAATAATCCTACAAGTCCAACAATACTTTCATATGATCAAATTCTTCAAATGCCACCAGATTGTTGTCCAAGAATAATATCAAAACATGTTGGTCGTTTTAAATATATTGTTCCAGAATCAATTCAACAAAAATGGACTTATCTTCGTAGTAAAGCTCATCGTCTTGTTGAACATCGTTTTTTTGAATGGCTTATTATTGCTAGTATTTTAGCTAGTAGTACAACTTTAGTAAGAAAATTGACAACCCAAAAAAAAAAAAAAAGAAATTACATTTCATAAGAAAAAATCTTATAATTTTTCTTCTATTTAAAAGGCATTAGAAGATATAAATACACGACAACAACCAAAATATTATTCAATTTTACATTCTTTTGATCAACTTTTTACAATTATATTTACAGCTGAATTAGTTTTAAAATGGTTTGCATATGGAATTAAAAATTATTTTACAAATGGTTGGAATTGGCTTGATTTTCTTATTGTTGTTGTTAGTGTTCTTGGAAGTTTACTTGATGGACTTGGTGTTGCCGATATACCAGCATTTAAATCTATGAGAACATTAAGAGCTTTAAGACCATTAAAAGCATTATCGAGATTTGAAGGAATTCGAGTAAATCAAAAATTTATATTTTTGTTTTTTTAATTTTTATTTTAATAATTTAGGTTGTTGTCAATGCATTAATTGGTGCCATTCCGTCCATTTTTAATGTTTTACTTGTTTGTCTTGTATTTTGGTTAATTTTTTCAATTATGGGCGTACAATTATTTGGTGGAAAATTTTATAAATGTGTTTATCATGATACACATGATCGAGTTAATATATCAGAAAATGTAACCAATAAAATCGATTGTTTAAATAAAAATTTTACTTGGGAAAATTCAAGAGTAAATTTTGATAATGTTGTTAATGGTTATTTAGCTTTATTTCAAGTTGTAAGTTTAGATTTTCTATTTAAAGACAATTCGAAATCATTTTTTTTTCTTCTATGATTTTCTATTACGATAATGAATACTTCGGCACGATACCATTTTTCGATTCATCTATATTCATTCTCGATGTTTCTTTAGGAATGTCAGAACATTGTAGAAAGTTCATAATCTGAACTTCAAAATACATATGAAAATTTGTTAACCGTAGATATTCGTTCAGTATATAGAGACTATTTGCTTCAATCAGATGACTTATTTTTTTGAAACCAATGAAAAAGAATTGTAAATCGATTCGATTGTAAAATGGATCAAAATATTCATTTATTATAGTCCATTTGAAAGCGTGATAAAAAAAAACATTTCTGTAATTATATTATTTCAAATGTAATCTTTTATAATGAAACAAATAGCGGTTTAATACGAGAGAGATATATTTGAAGAGAACAGAAGTTGCAAGCGTTTTTTTTTTCTCATTCAAAGTTAATCCTAAAAATTTTTTTCCTTCAAGCTTTACTCTTTCAATATGAATCAGACTGAAGTTTCTACGATGGTTTTTCAGCGAAAAACCATGGATTAGAATTTTGAAAATTATTTTTCCATTGAAGGTTATATAGAATAATATTATATTTCAATTGTACGAAATTCGAAATGTACATTTTCAAAGGTCTCGCTCATTAGTTTATATTACAATCGAAATTTTTTCACACAATGTTTGAAGATTCAGCATACAAAAAAAATATTTATTTTAGATTAGTAGATTTATGATAGGATTTATCTCACAAAATGAGTCTTTCCTTATTAAGTAGATCATTATTTAGATTCGAGAAAGGATTCATCCCAAGATCGTTTCACTTTTTTTAGAAACTTTTTTAATTAGAAATTATGAAAATAAACTGACGGCAATAGAAGAATCAAGATCCACTATTGCAACGAAAGGTTTAGTCTAAATAGAGAATCTCTGTATGAAACAATTAAGTAAAGTTAGAATTGCGAAAAATTTTTCTATCGTGTAACTAACTCAACTTTTTTCTTTTGTGTACTAGGCAACTTTCAAAGGATGGATTGAAATAATGGCTGATGCAACTGATGCAAAAGATGTATATTAATTTCTTTTTTCAATTATTTATCTCTTTTTCTATAAAACATATTATTTTTCAGATTGACGTCCAACCGGCACAAGAATCGAATGTTTATAGACTTGTTTATTTTGTTTTATTCATTATACTTGGTTCATTTTTTACATTAAATCTCTTTATCGGTGTTGTTATCGATAATTTTAACCAACAAAAACGAAAAGTAAAATTAAATTTTGTAAAACACAATTTAAAATAAGTGTTGAAGTATTTCGAGTAGAAATTTGCACTTTTTCCACCCACACCCACCACGAAAGTTGTTACGTTGTCCGACACGTATCCAAAAGGTATTGTGCTCAAACCTCGGTACTATCTGTCGTGAAACGACCCTGGTCGTTAAGTCACTAATGGCTATTTGTTTCGAATAGTGCCCGGCGTGACCATGACTACTGTGAGTCACGATGATCATGCCTGGCACTAGTCTCGAATTACCCGTTAAGGGGAGCCCCCCCTTTCCTGAGCCAAAAAATTCTTTTTTTCGATTTTTTTTTCGTGCAAGGTTTTTTCGAGACCTATGTATTAAAAAAAAATTTTTTTTTCTTAACATAAAGTTATATTATGATATGGTATACCTATACTTACGTATAAGTGGAAAAAAAATTCTTCTACAAGTTTTTTTTATTTTGCATTTTTCTCGAAACTAGTTTTTTGGGTATCAAAAACCAGTTTTCCCCCTTTTTCTCCGCCATTTCAAGTCTGATCGGGCTGAAAATTGTTTTGATGAGACTTCAAGTGATTTGGGTACGGTGTTTTTTTTTTGGATACCTTCTACCAATCAAGTTTGGCAGGCTTCGCAAAATTTGTAGGATCCAAAAAAACCTAGAGATTTTGCGAAGTGCTCAGTATTTTGGTTCTCCAGCCTGAAGTATTTGGAGTTTTTGAAAAAAAAAAAGACGTACCCCGATTGGGTCCGTCTACCCACAGTAAAAATTTCAGCTCAGACGGATGAAATCTGTGGATTTGCGGGAGGGGGGAACTTTTTGCAAGTTTTTGACCTTGGGGTCTCTGGAAGTCCATGAAGATGACGTCTGGCAAATTTGTGTCTACGACAACTTTTGCTCTACTACTCGAGGTCTATCTACCCTGCAAGTTTCATGAATTTTCGTTCGGCCGTTTTTTAGAAACGCCGGAATGGGGGGGGGGGGGGGGGGGCCCCCTAAAAGAGAGGGCGC